ATTTCAGCACTAACTTTCCACCCGAAGACAGACTTTTCTTGGAAAAAACCGTGTGCCTTATAACCGAATAACTACGGTATACTGACCTTTAGTATAAATTACTTCCTAATCGACACCTAGGTTGCTATTTCATTTTATGATCTTTTTTTCTTGCGGGATCAATCTTACTAGCTTTCGCCGATTCTTATCAAGCCGCTGCATATTCTCGTGGATGAGTCAGCCAGATGTAACCGGATGTTAATAAAACCTTTAGAGCTTATAAATTTAAAATATATCTTAGAGTAATTACCACTGATGTAGTATGCTGTGGTAAACTAAACATTTTGCTTTAATCGATTCGTTGGATTCGCACGTTTTCATGATGGATCAGAAGTCAGCGACGTAGTTCTGGCAACAGTTCATTTTCCCGTGGGATGCCTAAGACAAACTGAAACCACTTTGCGGATAATTCGCATTTCTTGTTACTGCCTCCGAGCGTCTTTTTCTCTACTTATTGCACTGAAGAAATAATTTTGAACTCGTTATGAAACTTAACGATTTCGAATTCCTGAATGGTTTAACCTGCGTAAAGTAAAAGCTTCATTTCATCAGTCTTTTAGTGATGATCTCAGCCGCAAGTCGAGAGAAAGAATATTTGAACGTCGGTTGTCGGAGAGGAACCGAGACTCGCATGAAACGAGACCGAAAAACTTGTCATGGTCATTGAAAATTGCGGTATGGAGTCAAAATTTATAGTTTGAACTGTGCGTTGTTAGACTTTTAAGGCATAAAAGTTGTCCTAAGGAACAGGTAACCTGCCTGTTTGACGAGGAAGAATAATTAGAGAACAACTTGGCGCGTTATAGTTATCAAATAGTTATTGTCACACTTCGGTTTAGCCAAGACTGTTAAGATGCTGGCACAGTTCCCCTCGGTTTTATTTTACAACAGCTTAGTTTTCCTGAACTGTGCGACTACTGCCTTTTTCCCTCGTTTCCCTCACGCCATGCAGTCAGAGAGCACGTTTTTCGCCTTGTATTGAACAAAGGGGTGACGATTTTCCCTTGTATTGTTCCGGTACAGGTCACATCCGTTACTTGTGCCACGTTTTCGTGTTGATGATATATAAATAATAACGTGTACTCGATATAAATGTAACAGCCAGTTAGCTGTTAACACTCACAGTTTTCCTCTACGTTACTAACTGGACCGCGAGTTGGCAACCGATGTTCATTCGGACATATGTTTTCACGTGAAAGTGAAGAAGACTTCCCAAATGTAAGCTGTCGAATTAAGTTTGACAGTGTTTGATTTTGGCGACGATTCATCACTTCTCCTTTGCTAATATACCTGCACCAAACATGTGTTTACATCAGCAAAATTTAGGACATATCCCACTATCTTTAAGGCATAATTATAAGTTATAGTGACGTTTTTCGCACTCAGAATGCCTTTCCGACAATTTATCGATCAGTAAAAAGATATCCAAGTTAACTCCATAAATCTCCACGAAGCACGTACCGTCGATCATTTACAATGGCTGTCTCTGCGAATGCGTTACAATGAGGAGAAGTGAAAGTACAACGTGATGAATTAGTTGCTTATTTTCATATTATTTTCTCAAAATATTTCAGCTCGAGCTTATTAACTAATAGTTTTCTAAATAGTAAATGAACAGGAGGTAATTTGGTGGCCGAGTGAAACTGAAACTGCTTGCTCATCACATTCGTCGATCGTGCCTTCCTTCCGCTCGAAGAAACATGTTTTTCTTTTCGTTTTAATGTTCAGCGGCGTTTAAAGAAAGGTGTTTACATAGTCGTATGCATCAAATTGACATTCAAAATCGATGAAAATATTCTTTGGCACCAGTTCGTTCTCAATGGGTGGCATGCATTTTGTTGGTAGTGAATGATTTGTCCAAGGTTATTTAGCTTATTAAAATAATCTCGATAGCTACAATTGCGGACACGTATCTACGCAAAAGCAGTCAAGTCCCCTTCCCCTTCCCCTCCTTCGCGCCCTCCAAGCCGGGAGCCTGTAAGCAGGCTATCTTTTTAGTTGGCTTTTAAACTTCAGCTCACAACATTAACGTTCCGCTCTACGATCTAACTAACTTAGGATTACAAGTGCCACTTTTATAGGCTACAGATTTATTAATTTCCTACTTGGTTGATCCCAGTAATTCCTGATTCATAGCGCATGGGTCTGTTAGACAAATCTTAGCGTTAATCTTAACACGCGTTTTCGCTAGCAACTATCTAGTTAATTGCCTCATCGTTTGTCGATCGTTCTACGCATTCTTTGTCAATATTTCCGGTTACATTCTACCGGTCTCTATTAACGGTAAAGAAACAATTAGGGAGCTTTAGCAAAGACGACGGCAACGGCAACGAAAACGTCGTGTCGAAATCTAACTTTTCGTTTTTGTAACTCTTTCGAGGTTATTCCGATGTGCTTCACTTGGAAAATGCTGGCGAACTATTCAGGGACTGCATCACTACGAACGGTGTTAAAGTAAGGAGAAAGAAAGAAAAATTAACCGTCATGCGCTCACGTTCTCGAGAAAAACCTAAAGTTTGGTTATTTCACGTTGTTGTTTTGCCGAGAACGGCAAAGAAATGTACCAAAATGTTAATCACACGTGTACGGCGATTGTTTTTGCTCATTAAGCCTATTGTTTTCTGCCGTTCTCGTTGCTGTCGCCGTCGTCGTCGTCGTCGTCGTCGTCGTCGTCGTCGTTGCTAAAGCTCCCTTATGTCTTGCGAAAGGAACTTGAAAATGGCTCAGCATGGAGTCTGATTTGCGTACGAGTTATTTGCGATTTTTCTTTTATTATTACAACAACGTAATATATTATTTCTCAAATTTTCAAAAGAACCGATTGATTTTCAGTTTGATTCTGAATCGGTAAATGCAGTACACTGTTGTTAGTCTAAAATTAAGTTTAATTTCATTGAGAGTATGATTTTGGAATAGTTCGAACCAAANTGAGTGAGCCCGAGCGTTAGCCCTTCGTCATTTGCTCTAAAGAAGGGCTAACGCTCCAAACGTCAGTTTCTTAACTCTTTACGGTGGCCAATTTACAATTTCAACTTAGTTGATATACCAAATTCAGCCTTGTTACCCCCACCGACGCAGCACCACAGTTTCTTTAGAAACTTACTCCCTTATCATGATGAGTATGATTCAACCTAGCTGGGTACGAAACGAGCGTGGGTACAAAACCACTGGCGACTGTCTGTATCACTGCACTGAGCCCAAGAAAACATGTGGAAAGGAAGCTAGGGAGATCAGTCGCCGCCAACGGAGTATGAAGGGGTGCACAATAGAAAATAGACTGCCAGTGAGGAGGGATCATATCAATACTGAGCATTAGGAGGGGATCAGTTAAATCTTATCTTGACACAACCAAAATTCTCCCACCCCCCTCCCCTCCTCCTCCCTCGATGTACAATGACCGGTTCCTTATTGTTTCAGAATAAGGCTCATGAATTATATTTCAGCATCCTCGAGCACTTTTGGCTTTCCGTCTGAGTAATTTCTGAGCAATGTTTATGTTTAGAACATCTATCAAGCACGAAAACTTCAACGCCTGATGTCATAGAAAACTTAAATATGCGAATTTTTTTCGAACACATAAACTGTAAATTGACAACGTTCCACAAACTTATCCTCTAGTATCAGTACAGATCATCGGCTAAAATGACATTAAAAAATGGTTGTCTTTGTTAATTTATTAGTGAGCAGCCTTCCAGTATTTTGCGAGCACGATCCGGACAGACCTAACTCTCACTTGAGACTGACCTGAATCCAAAAACGTTCTCTGTTACGGGTTTTCTCATCGCGGGAACACCCTATCACATGTCGCTTTGATCGTAACCTGAGGCAGGGGTCAAGTGGTATAGTATGCCCTTGCAGATCCTGTTGGCCACAATTTGGAAAGACGAGCATAACTTTTGCACCGTCTTTATAAATGGAGCACCGCTGGCATAATAAGTATATTTTTATTTCCTTTTTTAAGCAAAAATTACCAGCGTCATAGCTTGTGTGGTCTCTACGACTGATTATTTTAAAGTTCGGTCCATGATTCAGTCCATTTTCAACATTACAATATCTTGAGGGAGAAAGGTTACCACAATACTCCGTCGTTCGTCGTTTAAAGGACCGAGCACACCGGAAGTAAAGATTCCGTCGGTCACAGTTTCCGCGATCACAGGCGACAAAATGGTGTTAAGCAACTTCTACAGACAAGGATCGCTTAATATACCAAAGCACCGGTGCTTATTAGTAGGACAAGATATACACTTGCAAGTTGTGTGCACTTCGTTCGGTGGAATACTCTTGTTATTCGCGCACTTCTTTGTACGGTGTTTTTTTAATAGAACGAGAAATGCGCTTGTTGTTTGGGTACTTCGTGCGGTGCTTTTCGATCGAGGAAGACTCTTGTTGTTCGTGCAACGCTTTTTTGTCGAACGAGAAATACACTTGTTGTTTGTGCACTTCGTGCGATGCTTTTTAGTAGAACGAGGAATACTTGCATGTTGTGTGTGCATTTTGCGCGTGATCCGCTCGGATCTTACGACAGAACTGTACGAATCGTACGGATCGACAAACCAGTTTTACAGGTGGTAAACCGTGGTATTGGATATGGATGGCATATTACGAAAGTATTGGCATATTACGCCACTTCAAGTTTTACTGGCTCAATCTGTAAGAGCCTATTTGGTACCCATGTCTGGCTTGTCTAGCGTAGGCTGGGAAGTAGCTATGTGAAGGAATAAACAATGAGCTTGTAAAATAACCAGTTCGAAAAACATGTTCAAGGTCATGCAACGCAACAGAGACATCATAATCTATAGTTCGATCGCGAAACCAAGTTTCTGTGATATCCTTCTCTTGAAGACGCTTGGAAAGCGATCGAGAGCAAGGAAGAAACTTCCCAGCTGTAAGTAGACCGTCTATTAAAGGTCCCTATAAAGCTCGGTTTAATCGTTGACAGTAATATTTAGCTGAACACCGTATCCACGGACACTTTCGTCGACTTTCCCTAGCTTTTAAAGTTAACATTTATATACAGATCTTGCGCGTTTAAACTCGTTTCTCGCTAAATTTAGCGAAAGGCTCCTTTGGGTGATAAAGTTTTGATCGAACTGATTCACATACGCGTATATAAACGCAGTCTGAATTACGTATCCTCGACAGCCCGGAAAAAAGAATGTCTTAGAAAAGTAAACGACTGCTGCCATTTACATCGCTTTTCACAAACCTGATTTCTGTTTAATCTACAGTTTACATCATTTCACTTTTATAGGGGAAAACATATGTTATTATGAATCTGTATATTTTTATCTGTGTCCAGTTTTGACCACAAGAATACAAGAGTATAATTTCATTCAATATTACGGTTAAGCTATTGTGCATTTTATGTAAATATTCCTCGATTTGTCTATAATACGTGGCTCAGAAATCACGGAAATCAAATCACGGAAATCAAATCAGAAATTAAATTAAATTAAAATAAATTAGTCAATCTAATTAAAAACCGATTTCTGTACGTTTCATGTACTTTCAGCAAAGGGGGACATGAACTGCTGATACGATAAAGCGAAGTGCTGACAGCTGATGCATGATGACGTTTCTCTGTTGTGTCTACTATTTTGATATTTGCCACGTAAGCGAAAATATTTAGTCATGATAAGTTTTTTCTTCGGTGACCTCGTTAAAAACGAATAGGGAAGTTGATTATTGTAATCGACGCGGAAATTTAATTGCTAAGTTTACGACAATGACAAGGTAGAGAGGATGTAAAAAATCCATAGGAAAGCGTTCTAAATAATTATTTCATATCGTTGAAAACTTGTACTCCGTCACGGTGAATTATCCCACGTCCAATTTGTTTATGTTATGCCACAGTTGGTGATGCGTGAAAGCCTGGCAATATTTGCGCTGTTGCGCTGATCGCGAGCTATTCGACTTAAGGAAACTCCACCGCTCTTTTTCACTGGTCTGCCCTCATTTTCCTCGTGTACCACAAAATTACCACAATAGAGAAGTCATGTCGTTGCTTTTTGGCACTATCTATTACTCGAAAAACCTCAAGGCTCTTAGTGCTGCTCCTGTGTAAACAATTCTCTTCGTGGTTTTCTCTGGTTATAACCTACGAGACACGCGACAACATTTCCGGTGTGCATTTACATTGAAATTTGTCAACAAAATTGTCACAAACCGTCACAATAGTGTTTCGAAGGTGGTTGTAGGTGGTTTTAGGTGGTTGTAGGTGGTTTTTGGTCTTTCCTTGTTCTAGTATTTACGGAGCGCCGGACTGTTAGGCGGGAGGTCGAGGGTTCGAGCCCCGGCCGGACCAACACTCAAGGTCTTAAAATAACTGAGGAGAATGTGCTACCTTTCTATAATATCAAGAAATGGATAGACATTCTAGTCTTCTCGGATAAGGACAAATAAACGGTAGGTCCTGTCTCCTGCATCTATGAATTAGTTAATTTGATTAGGCAGGGGACGTTAAAGAACCCACTCACCAGATTACTGTGATGTGGTCTGGCCTGTTTTAGTAGGAATTGGGGGGAGGGAGAGGGGGGCATCTGTTAGATTCGCCTTTATCGATAAACTGCTACCAGCAGTCTGGTAAAGTCCCCCGCACAGTGTTGTAAAGCGCATTTGATCATATCTTCCTGTATGCTAATTTTCGCTATATAAATGTTAAATCCATTCATTAATTCACAGTCAAGGCGATGTTGTCGACATCAGTTCTTTCTGCGATTACGTTGTACTATGTGCACTATTCAGAATTCTTTAAAGGCGTATGCTACACCTTCCGTCATCGAGATTTTTGGATAAAATTTCCCCCACATCTTCCGAAAATAAACTTTATTCTCACAACTCCCAACAATCACGAGAGAATAATAGGATAGTTCCGTAAATGTTGTCACGAGGTCACACGTAATAATTATAGAAAAGCCAACATTAGAATAGCTCTGAGTCATATAGATTTGAAGTTCTCAACATATAAAAGAGAGACGTGAACGGTATCATAAGGCAGATCAAACGCAGAAATTTTCTTGGAAATGTTTTTCCATTCGGCAAAAGTAAGTGCTGTCGTTGTCATTGATTTTAGTTAATGATATTGATTTTCAGCAGATTGCGTGATTTATTCGAGCATGTCTGAAATTAAATGTTGATCGCGGACTCTAATTAGGATTTCAAGTTGTCAGACATTGTCGCAACTTTTAGGGAAATGTTCGAGTGATAGCTTCAACGGTAGAGAAAAACCAGAAAGGCAAAAAGGATTAAAAAGGGAGCCAGGACAGTTAAATATGGAGAAATGCGAATGTGAATGTGACATTCGTAGAGAATCTGAGCTGATGAATAAAAAAATTCTTCAACATCCTTTAACGTTAACTAAAACTACAACTAAAAAAATGAGTAAGCTTCTAGTTTTGCAATTGTCAATATTATTGTATGATTATGTCGTTATCCGTTGTTTTGAAATTTTCAAATATTCCCCTTTATGTATTGCTGTTGTTATTTTTGCTGTAGTCGTCAGGGGTGTTTATGTTGATGTGTGTGGTTCAGTTGCTCTAATCAAGCTTCAGTGGCCAGAGAAAAAGCTCTCTTATGATTCAGAATGAAATAGAGAGAAAAATGACAAGCTAAACTTGTACGCTCAAGGTTGGTGACGTGCTTTCAATATCAGTAAACAAGAGAAACTAATCTACTGAGGTAAATACATCAATAGGGTGGTTTTAAGGTACGAGTCCTAGAGACTGGTGATGGGAGCGGAGACTGGTCATGGGAGCCGGAGCGGGGGAGGTGGGGAGGGTTCAGAGGATTTTGGTTGTGTCCCTATATTCCTCTAATCCACCTGTTAGGCTCTATAATATTCTTATAATATAACTCCTCGTTGGCAGTTAATTGGCAGTCGGTTATCCATAGTCCCCTCTTAATACTCTCCCGGCGACGACTGATCACACCTCCGTTCCCCCTGAAAGCCACGTGATCCCCCAAATTCCTCTACTCCTCACTCAGGTCCCATGGTAAGAATGGGTTTCATTGATTTCAGTGACACCTGATAAGATACTGAAAGCCAAAAAGAGCTGCGGTACACACAAAACCAGAAAAGGCGACCAACCGAACAAAAATTGCCCTCCTGGATAGCGTGGTTGGAAACTCACCACCAGGTGAATGTGCAAGGCACGGGGCAAAATTCTTGAAAGAGGACGGTTACTGTCGTTTGTTAAAAGAAGAATATGGTCGCGTCCTATATGAACGAGACCTTGCGAAAAGAAATCTAACAGTTGCAAATTACCGGCTTACTGGAGAGCTCCAGAAAGAGGGACATGAAAAGGAATTTGGTAGGAGTCTTTTCGATCTTAACCGTTAATTCATCCCCTTTAAATGAAAAGGCCTGTGTAAGTTGTCCTGTAGCCTTGTGATCCCTTGGCCATACAATCGCGGGTATCTCCTTTGCCTCAGTATCTTGAACCGTCTTCCTCGTTTCTTAACCCCTTCTGGTACTTCGGTTCCTCCAATCCACCCCCCCTTTGAACTAGAAGTATGATGAGCCTCGTTCCTGCCTCTGATTCATCGTTTCGTTCTTTGATTTATATTACTATATCTGTATATTTTCCCAGAGACGAAAACTATGTGCGAAGGCTTGAGCTAACAAAAGAATTTTATCTTGGTAGCTGTGGCAGCCACAGACCAGAGAAACACACGACGAATTGCACACGAAGAACCGAGCCAGTTTAGCCCCCGACTGAGCTCGAAATACTCAAAATCATACTCGGATCATCATACTAGAAGGGAAGAAGACAGCTATAGCCAAGACAGTAACTCTGAAGACAAAGACAAGCATGGAGACGAAGCAGCTAATAATTACGCGAGCAATTCATATGACGATGATGACGATTGTGGTGGTGACGATAACAATGATGATGATGATGGCACTAGAAGCAAGGAGCAAAACAATGAGAACAAAGATGAGAGCGGAGCTAATGACGATGGAAATGATGAGAACTGTGATGAAACTAATCATGAAGGCAGCAATAGTGTCGATGGTGAAGAAGAATTTTCCAGCCACAATGGCGAGTGTGCTAAGAGTTGCCCGAGTGCAGACGAAACATCAGTTGGTTCAGATGATACCGTTGAGTCTCTGACTGAAGAATTAAACGTCAGCTGTCGATTGAACTCACAATATAGCCTTGATGAAGACAGGGGAAAATCTAGTGCGGAGAACAATGATGGTAGCCTAGCCAGTAGCAACAGTACCAACAGCAGTAATGACACATCTTGTGAAAATTCCCACACCAGAAATGACAAGAAAAAAGCTAAAGACCTGCGAAAAACCAACAGCTTTGAAGTAGGAAGTAAAGCTGAGCGTTCAGTGGAACGAGATGGTGAAGTTGCAAGTCAAGGAGCAAGACCAAAGATTGTGCCGCAGAATCCAGAGCTGTTCGTTGCACTTGAAACACATTACCAGAACGGAAAGATACCATCCCTAGAGACAACTGGTATTAATCAAAATTTTCTCGCACGGCACTCGACACATCCAAGTCTTCTGCAGAGCTCTTTTACAGAAAGTTATGACTTGTGCACTAGCAACAAGTATTCAAACGATTGGACCCAAACTTCTATAACCAGCAACAGCAGCTCCTCCACACTTTGGAACCTCCCCCGTTCATCGGCCTCAGAAAGAAGTAGGTCAATGCTAAAGAATGCATATTCCAGTGGGTTGGTTCCATGGTATGGAGATCCAATGCCAGTAAATTTCCAACCTGTGACATCAATTACGGCGCAGTTCCCCAACGCCAGTAACTTAAGCCACGACATTGACCGGTGTAACTGAAATGAAAGTCTGTTCAGTAACATACATCAAACTAGCTTTTCAAGTTTTGGTGACTTTACTGCAGAAAATGGGACTCAGACAGCATCACCTTCACTTGGAGTTAGCCTATTGGCACCCGCTGTGAGATATCCAGCCGTTACCACACCAAGTTCCACGATAAGTTTTTCGACCACCACTTCGCAATTCTCTTCAAGTACGATGTCAGGAGGTGTAGCCCCAATTACTTCCACTTATGATATGTTAGGTAGTTATGGACGAGAACGAGTAGGTGACTTCAACAGGTGGAGGCTCTCCTATAGAAATAACCAAGCAAATAGTGGTTTGACCTCACCAAAAATAGTTCATCCAAAGAGACGAGAAGATAGCTTGAGGAACCATGACCTATTCAATAATCAACAGGAAGGTTCACTTGCTTCAGTATCGCTTAGGGACCCTTCACTGGTTTCTCTAGAACAACAAGTGGCTGAAATCGATAGCCTTCTTAAAGAACGAGAAGAACGAACCAAAAGACAGAGAGAGGCGGCACAAAGACAAAGGGAGATAAGGGAAAAGAGGCAAAGAGAGGCAAGACAAAGGAAAGAGAGAGCAAAAAGGGAAATGAGAGAACGAGAGGAGAGAGAAAGGAAAGAGAGGAAAGAGAGAGAAATAAGAGAAAGACAAGAGAGAGAAACGAGAGAGAGGGAACTGAGAGAAATGAGAGAAAGAGAAGACAGAGAAATGAGAGAAAGGGAAGAAATAGAAAATAGAGAGAGGATGGAAAGAGAATTGGAAGAGTGAACAGAACGGGAAACAAGGATAAGAGAAGACAGGATTGCAGATGAGAGCGTTCCCCTCCACGAGACTCCACTATGGCAGTGTGAACATTACCAGCGGAGATGCAGTGTCAAGTTTCCATGTTGCGGAGTGTTTTATCCGTGCCACCGCTGTCACAATCTATCGGGGACATGCCCTGCTGATGATAAGAAGGCACATCATGCGACGCATGTCAAGTGCGGAAATTGTGGCCTCGAAGAAGAGGTTAGCATACTTGGACTTTTGTCGTACTGAAGCAGCTTAGAGGTAGTTACCCGATTCCATCCCAAAATACCTGTCTTAAAGAATTCCAATGGGAGTGAGTTACATCTGACCTCATATTGATCAGAAAACCAAGATCAATAGAAAACCTTCGGTTTGAGCAACGTACAAAGCAAATTCCTCGTAAACATTAAGGCCAATCTAATCAAAGCGCGGGGAAAAGGTTGTGTCCAGGTTCCGACTGGTTCTAGTTTGGGTTAGAAGCGGTGTGAGTCTTGTTTTGATCATACAGTTCTATAATGAAACCAATACCACTCGCTGGTTTATTTTCGACACTCAGTTAAAACAAGAGAGCTTTGATCCAATGGGCAGCTGTTTATGTCACGCCTCTACACAAACTGCTACAGATATTGCTTATGCCGGAAACGTTTATAGCTCGCAATGTTTAGTTAACAAATTCTTGGCAAAATACTTTTTCTTCTGACTGATTATATTCTCAGATAAATGAAGGAAGTCAAACCTGCAGACGTTGTGACTTAAAATTGTCAGAATATTTCTGCCCAAAGTGTAAGCATTTTACAGGAGTTGACAAGAACCCTTTTCACTGCGAGAAGTGCGAAATCTGCCGGTAAGTTGGTTTTATATTGAAAGACACAAGGACTTATTGAAAAGTTTATTCGATTGTGCGAAAAACATAATAGCCCGTTATATACAGAGTATAACGCGTTTGTAAAATATATTGTTTTCTTTCAATGGAGATAGTTTCAACAGACGTACCATAGATTGAAAGAAGAAAACGATACATTGCATACTGGTCTGTTTTGCCTTTGCAAAGAACATTTCAATCGTCCTTGCTTTGCAAAAATGAAAGTTTTGGGAGAAAAATCCACCGATTTCTAATGATAGTGACGTGATACGTTGTATCATACAATTTCAACAATCTGTTTTTCAGCATTTACAAAGATAGATCCTTTCACTGTGATGTGTGCAATGTTTGCCTGGACAAGCGACTAGAAGGAAAACACAAATGTCGGCCAAATTCAGGGCATGACGAGTGTTGCATCTGCTTAGAGGTAAATTATAGCTCATACATTGCTTCAAACACCGAGCTGGGAATTTTCGGTATGAAGAAATAATCTTTAACGCCATCAAAAGCCTCAGGAGACATTGTTCAGGGTAGCGTTGTTACTGACACTTTAAATTCTGCTTGCTATTTCAGGACGCGTTCAGCGGATGTCAGATCCTGCCATGCTCTCACAAGGTTCACAGGGAGTGTGCCATTGCAATGATACAGAATGGCGTGTAAGTATGCTTAAAACAGTCTATAATAAGTGTTCGAAAGGTTTTAAAGGATGCTAACGAACGTGCGAAGGTACAACTTATGGAATAGTGGCGATATAGAGGATATTAAATGGCTGCTTGGGGATACGAATTTTATCTTCTCGTGCTGAAAGTATCTCTCACGAGAGAGCGCAGCGAACGAATGAGAGACACTTTCAGCACGAGAAGATAAAATTCGTATCCCAAGCGGCCATGTAATGTTCTGTTTATGATGTAGATACTGATGAAATTTCCACTTAAAATACAACTTTTTTTATTCATTTTCGAAACAGCAATTGGGTAATTATGTTGGTAACCATGGCCACACCAATATCCTCACACGTGAAAGATAAAAATAGTATCTTCCCTGCGCCCGGTGAAGATATGATTTTTTAGTAAAAGGAGAAATCCTGGTATTTTATCAATATCTATATAATAAGATATCGATATAAAATGATTATGATAATGATAATAAGATATTATTCATAAAGTTTTCAACTATGGAAAGGGATAACGACGTCATGCCCAGTCCTTTGGGTAGACGACGCTATCATGAAACTCTTATTGTTGTTACCAATCTATGTATAAAGATTTTATTACTTGAAGCCATGAAAACGCCATTACGTTTTAGGGATGTGAACATCACACCCGCATTCTGTGGGTGTAATAAATAGCACTATTTTACGCAAAGGTACAGTAACTAATGACATTTTTGGGGTGAGTGTCAAAAGTAATCCAGAATTGCTTTGGTTTTGCACTACTTTACTCGCAACCTCGTTCCCAGGGCCTTTTTCTTTAGTTAGCCCTGGAAAAGGGGTTGCTTTACACTCTGATTAGTCAAGAAAACTCCCCAGCCGGCTCTAAAACCAATTGCGACTTGGTCACACATGTTTTCCTGCGCTTCAAGGAGTTTACCCACCTTCTCTTTGAATCCGTATTGGCTGTAAGCAATTTTAATCGAGTTCCGAAAGCAACCAGGATTGCAATGGCTTTCCTTCACCTCGCCCTGTGATTGGTTTCGAAATCTCACGCCAGCCTCTCAAGACCTCTCAACAATTGAAATGCAAAACTAAACCCATCCAGGACTTGATCACTCCTTTTTTCCTGCCTTTGAATAGTTTGCTCGGAGCGCTCTGTATCTCACGGTTTTTGTTTCTTTTGGTTTTAGACGTAATTGCCCAATATGCCGCCACCCTCTGTATGGTCAGCTCCAGCAGTAACTTCTTTGACTCTCAAAACACAATGATCCAAGCCATGATGGTGATCTTAGAAGAATTCTTCACTAACGAGTGCCGGTTTAAATAATAGCATCAAGAAGTTTGTACTTTGCGGGCGGTTGCTCGCTAACGTTTCATCTGATACTAACAAGTTTAAGAAAATGAGAAAAACGCCTTTAATTAATTATTTTGTACTAATTTTAAATCAGTGCTGACAGGAAAATGAGCGGAATATTTATACCAAGCTGCAGATATATCAGAAAGTTAAAGTATATACCTTCCAGATAAGAAAAAAAAAACAAATTAAAATAGAATTGCCTATAACTGATTTTAGGCAAAAAGAGTCGAGTAGTTGAAACGATCTAAATGGCTCGTTAGAGAAGCAGATTAACGTGGTTGGTAACCAAAAAGAAAAAAAAAACGGCTACAAAAGCGATAACGAATTCAAATTAAAAGTGAGATAGGTCTTCGTTTTACATTTATTTATTACCTAATAAGTATATTTTATTCTAACTGAATACAAATCTTGAAGCTTATAAAGATTTCGAGATACGAACAATACCATTCAATAGTAAGTTGACCGCCGGTCTCTCGGCACTCGATTCCCGTTTCTCGAAAACTTTGAGGATCTGGGCTCGAGTCGCGTTTTGGGACGTCTTAGATAAACCCTAAGTAATGATACGGTTTTCGAGGTATCTAAAGGAAATAACCGGGTAACTTTGTTATATAATTTTAGATCAACTATGTAATAATGGTTGTATAACTACGAAAGCGTTACCTTTTCAACTCGAATATTTATTTACACCGGCGTTAATAGTAGTAGAAATAGGTTGAAACAAAAAACGTAAATACATGTTAAGTTAACTAAATAAACAAATTACAAACAGAAAAAAAGAATACAAACGAAGCAAAACGGCGGAGATACTTACATTAATAACACCATATCTAAAAACTGCAATAGCAAGTAACTTGAATACTTGCAAAACAGAGAACTGGGACAAGCGCGACTGTGGATAAACTGACTTAAAAAAGTGATTATGCAAAAAAGAGACGGGCTTTGAATACAAGAGGACTGGCAAATAACGTGCAGTATTAGAAACGTGCAAAAAAGGTATAACTGAGGAAGAAAAACGCTAACAAACTTAATAAAAAAACACATAAAAGAAGGTGTGAAAAAATAAAGGACGAAATAAATAAATATCAATGACACTAAAATAATAAGCGCTTAGATCCTACAGGTTTTGTTCCGAGAATGAAAGAATTTCAAGCATACTTAACTCGTAACGATAATGATAGAAAACTCGCCAAAGCGAATTTGGCAAATCTAACGATTAGAGCAATCGTTACTCGCACATGCATATTGTCGGAACTAAGTAAATATAGTCTGCAACCGAGGTTTCACAAATTTCTTAAGTTACAGTTCTTACGACGTGGCCGAGGGCTTGTTTTTTATTTAATTCTATTTTCAAGTGTCTTTTTCACTTTAAATTCACGGGTCGAACAAACAGTATTATATTTTCTTTAGATGGTAGTTGCATCCTACAAAATAAATATCAAAAATACGTTTCTCCTGATCATTGCTCTCACCACAATAGGCCATTTTTTACACTAAATTTTTTAGCTACAGTTCAATATTATTACAATTCCAAATAAGAGGTAAATGCCTAAAAACTGATCGTTTATTATTCTCAGGTTCTTGCGATGTGACCAAGTGCTTGTTTTTTAAATTCTATTATCAAGTGTCTTTTTTTCTTATTCACGAGTCGAACGAACAGTATTATACTTTTTAGCTAGTAGTATTATCCTTGTTTTTAGCTAGTAGTAACATGTTGTGGTAGCTATTACGTCATTACGGCATTCCTGAGAAGTACATTACCCTTATACAGAAGACCTATGACAAATGCAGCTGCAGGGTAATTACAACGGCGTGCTTTCACAACCCTGGCGTGCTCACCGGAGTACGCCAGGGTTGTTTGTTATCGCCCTTTCTGTTCCTACTGGTCATCGACAGGATATTGCGACAGACAACAGAGAAACGTCGAGATGGTATACAGTGGACCCTCATGACTCGACTGGAAGATTTAGACTTCGCGGACGATGTCGCTTTACTCTCACACAATCACCAGGGCATGCAATCCAAACTAACACGGATGGCCAAGATCTCAGCAAAGGCAGGCCTTAGAATCAGCAAACCTAAGACAAATGGCATGAGAATTAACACCAGTAATGCAGACAGGCTGGAATTGGGGGGGGAAGACATCGAGGAAGTGGAGGACTTTGTCTACCTTAGCAGTAACATCAGCAAGGATGGCGGGTCTGATCGAGACATACAAGTGAGGATCGGGAAGGCAAGAACTGCTTTCACAACTCTACGTCCTCTGTGGAACTCTAAAACAATTTCCAGAAAGACCAAAACTACGGATATTTAACACCAACGTGACATCCGTCCTCCTGTATGGATCAGAGATATGGAGGGTAACAAAAGCAACCTCCAACAAACTGAAATCCTTTGTCAATAAATGCTTACGGTCCATCATGGACAAAGACTGGCCTGAGGTCATAAGGAATGAAGATTTGTCGGCAAGAACTGAACAGGAACGAATTGACATCCAGATTAGAAGGCGCAAATGGGGTTGGATAGGGCACACCCTCAGAAAACCGAACAGCAATGTTACCAGGCATGCACTGAGGTGGAACTCACAGGGGAAGAGAAAACAAGGCGTCCTAGAAACACCTGTAGGAGAACAGTGGACAAGGAGGCGGCTAAGGCAGGCTACACCTGGAATGAAATAGAGAAGTTGGCCTGGGATAGAAGGAGATGGCGTGAGGTTTCCTCGGACCTATGCTTCACAGGGAGTGAAAAGGGATAAGCATAAGCAGTAACATCCTACAAAAAAAAAATTATGAGTATGTTTCTCCTAATTATTGCTCTCACCACAATAGGCTACTTTTTTCCCTTAATTTTTTAGCTACAGTTCAATGTTATTACGATTCCAAATAAAAGATAAAGTGCCTAAAAACTGATCGTTTATTGTTCTTAGTATTTTGTCCTTTTAAAGTGTCCTCAGATCTTAGGTATTCCCCAACATCAGCTTGATGGAAACAAATGACATCTGTAGAATTCGCTCGGCGACAATCTTGCGTTGAACCAGACGTGGCACCAAAACCTTGAAAAAGAGAAGATTTGTTAGTGTACTTGAATTTTTAGAATCAGTTGTCTCACTGAATGCTTTCTACATTGTCACATCATGCAAGTCTTGTGAATGGCCTTGCACATTGCAAGATCTCGTATCCTTCAGGAGAACTCACTTAAATGATAATACATTGATAAACATTGTATTGTGCCACTGCTTGCCCTCTCACAGAGAGACAAGAGATAATTGCTTTGATGTCAAAATGATAACTTTCATGCCCTTAGGATGGCGTAGTCTGATCGTCTGAGTGAGTGTAGTCCTGAGAAGGACTGTTGTAGGTAGTAATGACTAAGATGTTTCTACATCCTGAGCAGAAGTCCTCATCAGAGACAAGGCACACTGATCCTTTAAAGGACATTTTAAGGGTGAAAATGCCCTTACGCACAAAAAGGAACTTTATTTAGTACAATACTGCCTGTCTTATTGTTACAATTATAACTTGATTTTCTTGCATTTTGTTTCAATGTTTCCTTATATTTGGGGTACCGTTTAAAGGTGAAATATAATGAATTGTAATCACTCCCATAATCATAGCAAATTTAAAGTATTGTATTGTATGTTTGCGGAAGAAGCAGTGGCCAAATGATCCGTGGACTGGACCCTGGGTCAAGAGGTCTGGGATATACTCCAGCTGGGAGGGCCAGTAGGCGCCACCACAGACTTAACATTACCAGTAGTGTTATGGAGAGTGCCCGTATTTTCTAGAAAGTGTTGTGTTACAGAATTACTAAAAATAGAACTGAGGAAGTTTCTGGAGCTCTTAGTCATGCTGATTCATTAAGAACTCTTAATGGAACTTTCTAGAAGCCTTAGTCAGCATATTTTGTTATCCTGCAATAGCAATGTGATGATACTAAAAATAGTTGTATTACAGATCCTTTGAATATTCTAGAACATTTTGTAAAAGATATATAAGGAGTCGTATTGGTTGAAGTTAGCCTTTCTTTTAGTGCAGGGCTAGTGTATTATGAAACAGTGTGCTGTCGCGAAGAGCCCAGAGGAGCTAGTGTTATTACAAGCCGGACTAGAGAGAATTGGCGGAATTACTTATTTTTTCTGGAATCGTCAGCCGTGTGGAAGGCTACGTTGAAAAAAGTTTTTGTGGACATCAATAAGTCACAAGGACCTTTGAAGAGAACTGTGAGTTGTACGGTAGTACACTGAGATTATAGTTTTATAGAGGGCTCTAAGATAAGTGAATAGTTATTGTACTGATTATTGGTATCGCTCCTTAGATGGCAAGATCATTACGTCAGTCATTGAAGTAGTTGAGTTGGTACGAGTTTTATCTTTCTGTCGGTTGTGAAAATACCGTAACAGTATTAATATGAAAACTCTAGTGAAAAATTCCGTAGACACATGCGGTCAAAGACCGGCTATTTTTACTTCTTGCGGCACAAGACATCTTAAGGGGTATCCTACGAGATACTGAGAAATACCTAAGTCTACCGTCGACATTGCAACTAAAAGTTTGCAACAACACTTAGCACTGAAACTGCATTGGTTAAATAAGTCAATAGACGGGATATTTAGTCATCAGCTAACCGCCCCCCGGTTAGCTCAAGTTGTTAAAGCGCCGGATTGTGTTTTGCGGGTGGTCGAGGGTTCGAGCCCCGGCCGGACCGATACTCGTGGTCTAAAAATAAGTGAGGAGAATTTGCAACCTTTCTATAATCAAGAAATGGATAGATATTCTAGTCTTCACGGATGAGGACGAATAAACCGTAGGCCCCGTCTCCTGCAAAGTTAGGGGTAGAAGACTTTAATTTTCCACGCACGAGATTACTGTGTCATGGATGTCCTCCCCTGGGGTGGGATGGGTGGGAATTGGCCCTAAATAGGCCCAATGGGGAGTGGTCAACTAACGTATATATGTATATGTATATGTATGTATCAGAAATTAATTCACTTTCAGGTAGAACACTGTTAACGTAATACACAAATAATCACTGTAGTAGATTTAAGGTATAAGATATCTCGTCGCCAAAATCACGTGCGTTAAATGGGGTACGAAATGTCGCACGAGCTGACTTGACCTGTCCTTAGTAATGTTGATCCGTATCGCTAGAAGTTGATTCGCAGAATAACACGCATGGAATGTTGAC